ACAGCTCTGAGAGAACTTGTAACTGACCCAAGGTCACACCAGCAGCTGCACGTGAAGGAGTGGGGAATTAAACCTGGTTCTCCCAGATTAGAGTCCACACTCCTAACCACCACACCAAAAAGCCAGTACACCAAAAAGCAAGAAGTTATTGTTACTTTACCTGAACCCCACCTAGACACTGCCAGGCTGTGAAGGACTGAAATACAACAGGGATCGTACTGTTTGCCCTATGAGGGTGATATTCAGGATATACCAGGAGTCCATGCCTGCACAGATTAAACAACAAATAAGGTAATAATTAGGGAAATGTATTAGGCCCTCGAGATGAGATTTAGTATTTTGTAACACCCCTAACAAGGAGCTGCGGTGGCTCAAGTGGTTAAGAAGCTGAACTGCAGGCTGTGGAAGGTCAGTAGTTCGGAAGTTCGAGACCCGAGTGTGCCGCATGATGGAGTGAGCTCCCGTCTCTAATTCCAGCTCCTGCCAACCTAGCAGTTCAAAAGCAACCGAGCAGTTCGAAAGCAAGAAATTGCAAGTAGATAAATAGGTACAGCTTCGGTGGGAAGGTAACAGCGTTCCGTGCGCCTTGGTGTTTAGTCACGCCGGCCACATGACCACGGAAACGTCTGGCTCTTCGGCTTTGAAACGGAGATCAGCACCGCAACCCTAGAGTCGGACTCGACTGGCTTTCGAGCAAGGGAGACCTTTATCTTTACCTTAACACCCCTAACAACGCACTGCAGGCCAAACTAGATGTAACTGCATCCTCGTGGCTGCCACAGGGATGTCACCGCCATTTTAAATTTAAAAAGCCCCAAGGGTCTGATTGGGAACGCAGCACGGACGGCTGAGGTGCTCTTGTCTCCATCCCATGCTTGATGAAGTGTCGAAACAAACACACACACACACACAAACTCATCTGTTTCGGCATTTGAAAGGGCGTGGGGGAAGGAACAAGAGTGCCACATCTTCGGGGATTTTTAAAATCACTTTAAAATGGTGGCAGTGTCCTCATGGCGGCCATGGAGACATCGTCACGTCGAGTTTAGCCCTGGAATTGAATCAGTCCAGAATACACATTGAAGATCCTGGCGTGGAGGAGAGGGAAACGTCTTATAGAATGGGCTGCTACAAAATAATAGGCTCTATAACGATAAGTGCCAGTCGAAGGCGGGCAGTTCTGTTTCACTTCCTACGCTGAGGTACTCTGGGGACGGTGAGTTTAGTAGACGAATTTGACCCCATCATGGTAGATGAGGTTGCCCCATGCTTATGAAAGAGAGTACAAAAAACAGTGGATAGTCAGGAAACTGGGCAGTAAACCAGGCCAAAACCTTCTAAAATCTAGAGAGGAGCTGAATTAATCTTCAGGCTACACACACTGATTCCATCAGGATTAAATCAGGAATTAGACTTGAGTTCTTTTCTGTAAATGGTCAGGGTACCTTTAAGATAGAACATGCCATCTTAAAACATAACACCTGTTGCAGCCCACAAATTTTCCATTGAGACATTGTGCCACACTGAGGGTTGCCCAAGGTCACCCAGCAGCTGCAAGTGGAGGAGTGGGGAATCAAACCCGGTTCTCCCAGGTTAGAGTCCGCACACTTAACGACTACACCAAACATCTATCAACATTTCTTTTGCACAGACTATTGGAATCAAAGAACTTGACGGTTAAGAGAAATCTAGAAGAAGAAGAGAGAAGAGATTGGTCCACAGGGATGTCACCGCCATTTTAAATTGATTTTTTTTTAAAAAAGCCCCAAGGGCCCGCAGCATGGACGGCTGAGGTGCTCTTGTCTCTACCCCATGCTTGATGAAGTGTCGAAACAAACACACACACACACACAAACTCATCTGTTTCGGCATTTGAAAGGACGTGGGGGAAGGAACTAGAGTGCCACATCTTCGGGGATTTTTAAAATCACTTTAAAATGGTGGCAGTGTCCTCATGGCGGCTGTGGAGACATTGTCACATCTAGTTTAGCCCTGGAATTTAAGTCCAGAATTCACATTGAAGATCCTGGCGTGGAGGAGAGGGAAACGTCTTATAGAATGGGCTGCTACAAAATAATAGGCTCTATAATGATAAGTGCCAGTCGAAGGCGGGCATTTCTGTTTTACTTCCTACGCTGAGGTACTCTGGGGACGGAGAGTTCAGTAGACGAATTTGACCCCTTCACGGTAGATGAGGTTGCCCCATGCTTATTAAAGAGAGTACAAAAAACAGCGGATAGTCAGGAAACTGGGCAGTAAACCAGGCCAAAACATTCTAAAATCTAGAGGGAAGCTGAATTAATCTTCAGGCTACACACACTGATTCCATCAGGATTAAATCAGGAATTAGACT